TAATAATAATAAAAAAAATTCAGCTTTCAAAATGCAAACATATTGCCAAACTGAAGCCTTTGTTAGGTCACAGAATACTCGGGAAGCAAAGGCTGAGGTGTTAGGTTTTGGATTGATGCACCACATCTGTAATTGTATGCCTATATGTTGATTTCCAGGTGTGTGAAAACAAAGTTTATAAAAATAAAGAGTCTCAAGAGCTGATTGTAAGCCTTGTTCAGCAAGAATCAAGTCCTCAGCCTGAAGGGAAGGATTCTGGAATGTCTAAGGAAACTGTAGAAGAAAGCCTGGAGAACAGAGATGAGGGAGAGGATGTCCAGGGCAGAACAAAGACTATGTCTAGGAATGGGGACTCTCTGGCTTCAGGTATGTCAAAGTCTTGTGTACAGACAGGTATGTTGTTCATCTCCAAACTGGTTCACACAAATGAAAACAGGTCTAGGGCTTTCCAGTGCAAATTGATGGAGATAATGAGAACTAATATTTTTTCATTTTTTTCCTTGTGTTCATCTACTCTGGATGCTCTAAACATACATATATTGGAGCATTCCCTTCAAAAAAAGCTTTCCTGCCTAGAGAAATATTCTCCCCTTTTCAGAATGATAGGACCATTTAAGCTTTCTTGCTAGCATACTATCCAGTTCCCATTTCTACCAGTCCATGATACTAGGTTTTTTTTTTTTCAATTTTCATTTTAGCATAGCAATTCAAAATCACCGTCTCTCTGATCTTCCTTTAAATGATCTCTTTCACGTTACTTGTTTTTACTTCAGTCTGGTACAGACAAGGAGAAACATGATTATTGCAGGATAAACAACCTGAAAGTGATCTCTTCCTTCTTTTAGTGACCGTGTCTCAGTCAGTGCTACTGCTGGAGACAATGCACAGCTCAAATATAGAGGTTTAAATCATAGAATTAATGGTTTGGGTTGGAAGGGACCTTTAAAGCTCCTCTAGTCCACCCTGCCTCCCTGCAGTGAACAGGGACATCTTCAACCAGATGAGGTTGCTCAGAGCCCCATCCAACCTGACCTTGAATGTCTCCGGGGATGGGGCATCTGCCACCTCTCTGGGCAACCTGGGCCAGTGTCTTACCACCCTCATTGTAAAAAGTTTCTTGTGTCTAGTCTAAATCCACCCTCTTTTAGGACAAGGAGTAATAGTCTTAAACTATTGCTACAGGCCCTGCTAAAAGGTCTGTCCCCATCTTTCCTCTTTAAGTACTGGGAGGCCACTAGAAGGTCTCCCTGGAGCCTTCTCTTCTCCAGACTGAACAACCCCAACTCTCTCAGCCTGTCCTCATAGCAGAGCTGCTCCAGCCCTTGGATCATTGCTGTGGCTCCTCTGGACTTGCTCCAGTAGGTCCATGTCCTTGTGCTGTTGGTGGCCCCAGCACTGGAGGCAGCACTGCAGGTGGGGTCTCAGGAGAGCGGAGCAGAGGGGCAGAATCCCCTCCCTTGACCTGCTGCCCACGCTGCTCTGGGTGCAGCCCAGGACACAGTTATTGGCCTCTGGGCTGTGAGCACACGTTGCCGGCTCATGTTGAGCTTCTCATCCCCCAGCACCCCAAGTCCTTCTCCTCAGGGCTGCTCTTCATCCCCTGCCCTATATTGATAACAGGTGTTGCCCTGACCCAGGTGCAGAACCTCACACTTGGCCTTGTTGATCCTCATGAGGTTCATATGGGCTCAATTCTTGAGTTTGTCCAGGTCCCTCTGGGTGACATCCTGTTCCTCAGCCATGTCAACAAAAGTAATGCAGCCTGCTGTCGAGTTTATGGTGGTTTTGTAAACAGAGCGCCAAGAGCAGCAGTGTGGTGAGGCATATTGACTGCAGAATGCTTTCTTTGAAGCAGAGGATGGGCAAACTGCAGGTAGCATGACAAAGCTACTCCCAAGCTGTGTTCTCATTTACAGCATTATGCTCTAGAGTATTTATTTCAAAAAATCTCTTAAAAAGTAAATTAATAAAGCCTCCAGAAGTTTTTCTTACTAACGGCTAGTTGAAACTTGTTTGGGTTTCTTATCAGGATCTCATCTGGAAGGAAAGATTGTCTCCAGCAGACACACATCTTCTGAAAAAGCTGCACTGCCTGATAATCAGGTTCAAGAAGCAGGTGTTGGTGCTGTTGGGAGCACTATAAAGGACAGTGACTCTTCTATTGCTGGCCCCAGATGGACCCAGCTACAAAAAGCTGCTCTAAAACTACCTCAAGAAACCAAAGACTGCCCTTGCACTGCGGGAAGTGAGAGTGAGGGACTAAACCAGCAACAGCAAGGAAATGCAGATGCTTCCCTTGGCCTGAGCAGAGATCTGCTGCCGTCTTCTCATTCTGCTACAGTACAAGGTTTAATGGGACCCAGTTCCTCTCCTGGAAAGAGTTTATGTCAGACTGAAAGGCTTCATTCTGACTCGTCAGATAAACTCCCTGTCTTTGGTCATAGTTCAAAATTAGGTGTGAAAGAATTTGAGGGACCACCTTTGCCTCTGGAAGGAAAACCTGAAGCAAAGCAGGGTTGGATAACACTGGGTAGAAAACCAGCGCTGGGTAAGAGCTGCAGCTCACAGTCCCATGATAATGGCATTTTGGAAATGGATGATATGAGCTGTGGTGGCAATTTTCCTGAGAGCAGATTAAAGTCAAATGCAAACAACATGCAAACAACAAAAATGCATTCTGAGCAGCTGGAATATAGAGTGGGGCAAAAGGAAGGGGAGCAGCAACAGCAGCGAGTCACAGAAGCAACTGTGTGCGCTAAGAACAGCAAAGTCAGCTCGACTGGGGAGAAGGTTGTCCTCTGGACCAGGTAGGGCTGCCTGAACTGCATCTTCCACCCTTCAAGCATTCAGTGTTTGGCTTCAGCTTTCACACTGTAAAGTAGCCTTTATTTTAATTTTGTATTTCCATTTTCTACTGTCTTTGACTATTCCTGCCTTGTTTCCTCTAACCACAGTCCATCATAGCTGCCATCTTGATCCTATGAGAAATACTCTCTGCTTGTGCCAGTGCAGTTATTGCACTACTTCAGGCTGGGAAAGAATTTTTTTTTCTTTCAAAAAGCCTAAAACTAGGTTAAATGCAGTTCTGCTTAGAGATACGTCTTGTGATTGATTGGTGGTGGTAGCAGTAAAGGAACAAGGCTGCTGGAGTTGCTCTGATTGTTACCCTCACCTGAGAATGGGCCTCTGGGGCTGTGGTGGTCAGCACTTGTTTTCGGCTGCTTTCACAAGTGATGTCGTTTTGCAGGGAGGCTGACAGAGTCATCCTGACCACCTGTCAGGAGAAAGGAGCCCATCTGGAAACCTTCCACGCCATCTCGCAGAAACTGGGCAACAAGACTGCTAGTGAGGTGAGGGCTTGGTGTGGAAAAGCTCGATATGCTACAGGGAATGGGGAAAGGGGGTGGAAGGGAAGGGTGGAGGTTTGCTCTTGTGTTAGTCTCCCAGACTTTAATTCCATGCTGCATCAGAGAAAAATAATCCAAGTTGCAAATAAAAAAAAAAAAAAAAAAAAACCAAAAAACCAAACAACCCCGTATGT